CTCGCCATCCATAGTCTCTAAATAACTTATTTCACGTATATATGATATTTAGGCTCGCTGGTCTCATCATACAACGGCAATGAAAAAAGCACCAGGAGAGGCAGCCATAACCTCTGCCGCACTGAAGGGGGCGCAAGTGAGCCCACAGGTTCTTGTTGCTACTGTTATTCTACGCAGGGACGGGGTAGACCATGGCGGTAGACGCGACGCAAACAACAAACTAGACTTTTGAAACTAGAGGAAGATAAGGAGGACTTTTACAAAAAAGTAATAGAGATTGTTGTCCAGAAGGAAAGCATGGACTTCATCTTCAAGTCAAGGTAAGACCCCAATTGTAATGAAAATGGGATCATACTAAGAAAGAACAATCCAATATTTAGATTTTGGGTATCCTTTTGTTGAACGGTCTGTTTAAAATGAATCGAAGCATCAGACTAAAAAAGCTTTTGAAAATAACCGAATATGTCGATTATGGTCAAAATATGATATTTGTAAATCTGACTCTGAAAGAGTCAGTGCCTCACCAGCCATGAACCTCACCGCACGTCACTGCCGGGGACACATATTCATGTATAAAAGACGTACAAAAGTGCATTTTGCATGATAGGTCCCCTTTAAAGTGGACCTATCATGCTATATTTGAACAATATATTGTAGGGCCATACCTATATAAAACATGTTTTTTTTCAAAATACCAAACAAATCATTTAGCTCCATTTGCTCTTTCCAGCCCTGTTTTTGCAGGGGCTGATTCTGTGACGTAGCTTTAGTGCAATTGAGCTGCAGCTGACCACGCCCCCCTGCAGGAGAGGGGAGCATGCTCTGATCAGCTGCTGGGCTCTCAGAAGAGGGGGAGAAAAATAGATCTCTGTCCTCCGTGTTTTATTCGTATATGATTATATAGAGTCGTTATTCATTTGTTTTAAAGACCTTTGACCGGCACTTTTCTAATTTTGTCCGGAAGATTTAAACTTTAACGGACATGTTGACCAGCGAAAATAAATCTAACTGAAACTCTGTACTCATATTCATGTATAAAAGACGTACAAAAGTGCATTTTGCATGATAGTGTTAACATGTAATCTCTTTGCGCCTATACTACTGGCCTTACGGTAGTCTAGGTTGCCATCTTGAGACTGTGAAACGCATGCGCAGTTAGTCTGTGTCGACCTGGAGCATGAGGTCCTCTGTTCGCTAATGGCTCTGTATTGGTGTTATGCACGTTGATTGAATAAACCAAGTTAACAGAAGATAAACGTTGTGTTTATTTGTAGTAGACTAACATTGGTAGCAGAGGATGGTTAGCAGAAGATGGCTACTGCTAACTACAAAGTTCCACCGAAGTTCGACGAATCCCGACCATACGAGTGTTGGAAAAATGAAAATCGCCATTTGGAAGCTGGTTACTGAACTTGATAAGAAGAAACAAGCCCTCGCCGTTGTCCTGGGGCTGGAAGGAAGGGCAAGGGACATCGCCATGGAAATACCCGCTGTGGATTTGAACAACAACAATGGTATGGACACACTGCTAGCAAAACTAGATGGCATGTTTCTCAAAGAAGAGAGAGACCGCGCATACGATGCTTACTCTTTTTTTGACTGTATCAAAAAGGAGAGCTCCGTGTCCATGGCGGACTATGTGATTGACTTTGAACAGCGATACAACCGAATGAAAAAGTACGACATGACTCTTCCTGACGCCGTGCTAATTTTTAAACTTTTGGACACGGCTTGTCTAGACGAGAAAAATAGACAAATGGCGCTGACTGCGTGTACAGATGTAACGTTTGCTGCAATGAAGTCCGCGCTGAAGAGGATCTTTGGGGGGAGAGTGCAAGGCGGCACATCAAACGGAATACAAGTTAACGATGAAGCGTTATTCACAGAGCAACGCTCACAAGGAAGATTCAGACGTCCAACAACGCAGCAGTTTGGACAAGTTGGACAACAAAGGCAACCGTCACAAGGTACCACTATGAGTGCTAGAGTAGGAGAGCACATTTCAGCCTTGCATGCCTCTAGAAAAGCATTTACTGAAGCAGAGTGCTCAGAAAGGATAAGACGAGCACTACGTAAGCAGCTCAGACCCACAAATGAGAAATATGAGATGGGTGACAAGGTGTATTACAAACGAGCTGAATGCACTGAGTGGAAAGGACCAGGGATAGTTATTGGTCAGGATGGGGCTGTTGTTTTTGTGAGGCATGGTGGTTGCCTAGTGAGAGTGCATCACTCTAGGCTTTCCAAGGTGAACACAAAGGTTAATGAAGAGCAAATGGTACAAAATGATGCTGACACAGAAGCAGGAAGTGAGCAAGGTATAAACAATGCAACTGGTAGTTTAGACAGTGAGCAAAATACAGAGAATGAACAACAGTTCGGTGACAGGGAAGCCAATACAAGTGAAGCGATCGATCCTCCAAACACTTTGAGTAGCGTAACACAAACTGAAATGGCGCATAGGCCTAATGCCCATAATAATCCTGCCCCTTCTGCAGGTGTGAGTTTAAAAACAGGACAGACTGTAACATATATGAACAGAGGTGACAATACTCTACTTAAAGCAAGAGTCTTAGGGAGATCAGGCAAGGCTACGGGGAAATATAAAACCTGGTATAACATGCAAAATCTAGAGAATGATGGTAGTGATGGGCAAAAGGAATCAATTGATATCTCACAGGTTGATAATCTCAACATTGAAACAGAAGACAGAGAAGCTGATGTACTTGTAACCAAAGACATCTCATTTGATGCAGCTAAGCAGGAAGAAATAAAGAACTGGCACAATAATAATGTATTTGAGGAAGTTGAAGATGCAGGGCAGAAATGCATTTCCACCAGATGGGTTTGTAGTCTTAAGGACACTCCCAAGGGTATAGTGCCTAAAGCCCGACAGGTTGCCAGAGGTTTTGAAGAGCTGAATATTCAAGAGTTACCGAAATATTCCCCCACATGTGCCACAGATTCACTTAGACTTATGTTATCAGTGATATGTCAAAACCAGTGGGAAGTCCATTCTATGGACATCAAATCTGCATTCTTGCAGGGTATGGAGCTATCTAGGGATATTTATATCCGCCCCCCTCTAGAGGCAGGATGTCAACATGTTGTATGGAAACTAAAGAAATGTGTATATGGTCTTGCAGATGCATCACTATATTGGTACAACAAAGTGAAGGAAATCATGCTGAGTACTGGTGGTAGAGTGTCACAGGTGGATCCGGCAGTCTTTTACTGGTTGGATGAGCAATGTAAGGTCACTGGGGTGCTTGCGTGTCATGTAGATGATTTTCTTTGGGCAGGCTCATCAAACTTTTCATCCAATGTGATCCCTCAACTGCAGTCTGCATTCAAGGTTGGGCGTGAGGAGCATGAAAAGTTCTCCTATGTAGGAATGGATTTGGTAACTGTTAACGGTGAAGTTCAGGTACATCAACAACGTTATATCGAGAACCTGGAGCCTATTTCCATACAAGCAAGTCGGGCCACACAGAGAAATGAACCCCTCAACGAAACTGAGAGAGAGCAGTTACGATCAAAAATAGGACAGATCCTATGGGTTGCTAAACAGACAAGACCTGATGTAATGTTTGATTCATGTTGTTTGGCTTCTAATATAAAAGGGGCAACAGTACAGTCTGTTCATGATGCTAATAAGATAATCCGTAAGCTAAAGTCTGAAAAGGTGACACTCGGATTTCAACATCTGGGAAACAGTGATGCTTTGAACTTGATAGTTTTCAGTGATGCTTCATTTGGAAACCTCCCAGACGGAGGTACACAGGGAGGTACTTTTATAACACTTATGGGAGAAAGAGGGAAGTTTTCCCCCCTCTGTTGGCATTCAAAGAAAATCAGACGAGTGGTTCGCAGTACCCTTGCAGGGGAAACTCTTGCCATGTCAGATGGGGTAGACAATGCAATTTTTCTAGCCACACTATTTTCTGAGCTCATTACTGGAAATGCTGGACTGAATGCACCCCCTGTACTCTGTGTGACTGATAACCACTCTCTGGTCGATGCGCTCAAGTCCACAAAACAAGTCACAGAGAAGAGACTCAGGTTGAAAATCAGTAGCATTAAGGAGCTCATACAGAGCAAGAGGATCAAGCAGGTGCGTTGGTCAGACACAAAATCTCAGTTCGCTGACTGTCTCACAAAAAAAGGAGCTTCGGCTCTTGTGCTCTTAAAAGCACTCAGTGAAGGACAATGGGATCTGGGTTAAAGTGTCTGTTGAAATGGAACATTGAAAACACCTTTGTTTATGTATTTGTTTCTTAAATGTTTCCCTAATTTATGTTGACTACTCAGGGAATTTAAACATTTTTGTTTTAAGTCACTGTATGATTGTTTTATGATTCATGCAATGTAAAGTTGTTTTTGTTTTGTTTATTTCTTTAAAAAGATAGAATGAGATTGTTAACATGTAATCTCTTTGCGCCTATACTACTGGCCTTACGGTAGTCTAGGTTGCCATCTTGAGACTGTGAAACGCATGCGCAGTTAGTCTGTGTCGACCTGGAGCATGAGGTCCTCTGTTCGCTAATGGCTCTGTATTGGTGTTATGCACGTTGATTGAATAAACCAAGTTAACAGAAGATAAACGTTGTGTTTATTTGTAGTAGACTAACAGATAGGTCCCCTTTAATAAATTGGGACACTTTGATGTTCAGCCCTAAGGGAAAAGTGTGTAAAACAACACATTTTGCTATCAGTCACGTGATAAGTGTATAATTGGATTCGTGTTAGCAATGCAAAAAAGAAATCGAACATCCCAGGCTTACAGTAAATGACTAAGCTAAGGCTGCACTGTATTGGTCAGGGTCAAACTAATAAATCAATGTTAGGCTAAAGCATGTAGCGGTTGCAAATGAACACATATCAAAATAATGCCTTCAATGTTTTATACACGTACATGTGGAATAATACATACATGAGTTAGTATGTGCGATAATGTTCAATAGATATTATTGAACCTGTAAAAGACGTGTCAGACTCACTTCATCAATCCTCTGCTCAATCTTCATTTCTCCGTGTTCTTGTATTGATCTAGGATCAGAGAGAGTTAAAGACAAGGAAAGGATAAGAGAAGGCAACTTCACAAAGCCAGGGAAAACAGGGATATTGACTTATTGAGCACACATAACACACAAACCCACACATTAACAGTGGATATATACACGACTAAAATCCCACATTAATCACAATATCTCTACGTGTATCTTCAGAATCAGAATTCCTTTATTCGTCCCACAGAGGGGAAATGTACATTTGTTCCAGCAGAAAAAGAGCCAAAGACAGCTTAATGTTTAACAAGAAGTATGCATACAAAACTGAAAACATATTAAAGATCAAAAATGTTTTTAGAAAAATAAAAACACATTTTGCAAATTATATTTAAAAAATCGAATTAAATCAAATGGACATTATTCATTCAAATAAAAAATAAATAAAAAAACACTGAAGATAGAGCAAATATCTTTAGAATAATAACTTTTGACGCTATACATTCATTTCAAAATACAACAGATGAATTACTTTAATTATTTGGTTTTAACGTGCCCCTCCTTTTGAGAGGGAAATAACATTTGTCTTGTGAATATTTTTGAATAAATCAATACCTCTTTAATCCACCAATCCTGCTAATATATTTAGCATCGCAACTACATCGCTATAACTGAAAGGGATCCGTTTTGTACCAAGTAATACATATTCAAATAATAAATATGTATGCAGCAGTATGATTTAGCTCTGTACGGTCCACAGTAAGTATCAGGTCTAAAAAATATGATGCATTTGATAACTGAGTGTAAAACTACATTTTAATAGTTCATATTTGATGACGTTAACCCTTCGGAGACAGTCAATAAAACAGTTCAAACTGCACCCAGCAGCACAATGGCTCATGCTGATAATCATCACACTCATCATGACTAGTGATTAACCTCATTCAACTTCCTGCTCCTCCCAAAAAATATCTCTTCATACGAGTGAACGGCATAAGATGATTGCGGCAATCATCACGAAGCCAGAGAAAATAGCTATTGACTTGAAGCACGTCGTTAGTGAGCAACACATGACGCAAGACCTCCAATCCAACCATTGACATACAGTACGATTTACATACGAGTAAAATCCTCCATTAAAAGTCAGTTGTTGTCATAATATCAAAAAGTATATATTGATATTGTCAATGTTCTATTCGTGGATAACTGACCAGGAAATAGATCAGAAAATTCAACCCCAGTTAAATCGCGATAATGATTAATTGTATACAAATATAATACTGCCATAAAGCAATGCAGCGCTTTGGTTTGCAACACTCCCAATAATGGTCTAATATAACCAGATTGATATCTGAAGTGATAGCTGTCCAGTTAAATAACTTGTACTGTGGTGGCTATCCCAGTACATTCAGTTGTAATAGGTTTTTTTTGCAGTTTAACAAAAACTATGAGCTTCACTGCTTTATGGCACCAGATATGTCAGCACTATTAGCATTACTCAGATGTATTACCACAATTAATTTGAGCCAGTCTTGCAAACAGTAATTTGACTGTGATTTAAGTATTCAGACAGTTGCCATGAATTGTAATTATGTGTACTGATAAATGTGCTGGCATTTATATTTTATAGATCAGTATTAAAATGGTTAGTGTGATAGATGTAAGTAATGTGTTTAGAGTTTGTTGATGGTTAAATGTGTACAGTACATGTCGAGATCCTATAAGTGGACATAAGCTATTAGCTAAATTAGCATATGTTCTCCATCTAACTGAATATATGAAGATATACACATAGAAATATAAAGCTAGAAGTAATACAGGATATTACATATATGTCATCCCATTGTAAATGGATGTGTTGGAATTGTGCGTCATGTGTTGCTAAAAGAGTGCTTCAAGGAAATCGTATTTCTATGGATTAGAAAAGATTGCTGCCATTATCTTATCACACCTTTCTTTTTCTTCAAGAGGTAAAATGACTCCTGCTGATCAAATGTGTTTTAAAACCAAGACTTCAGCTACCCTGCAGTAGGTACATATTTCACATTGAAGTAGTTAGACATTCATTACTGTACCTCATGTTGGTATATGTTCCCCAGACAGCTGAAAGAGAGAAAAAGAAAACCAAATGAATCATGAATAAAGTACATGTAAAGTGCCGTGTCACATTAGTCTGTAGATAAGAGAAAAGGTGCCAAAGAGACACAAGCGAGCAGGAAAAGCTCCCATGGTTATCTTCTTTTTCTCAGCATGTGTATTGTCTGATGGGAGGATGTCCATTATTGATCTGTAAATAATCAAAACTGATCCGTGAAAAAATCGGACTATTAGTGAATGCATTAGTATTGAATTCCAACCGGGAAATATCTTGTCTTTCAGATCTTGGTATTTATTATTATTTTATTTAATCTTCACACTTAATATAGGCGCTGACCCCCTAAGAAGGCTGTGTCAGGCCATAATAGGCCGATTTTGAGTAGACTATATTACAACAATGTGTATTTCTATTTCAGATGTGCGGTGTGTTTATAACATGAAGGTATTTAAAGGAGTGTAATCATCTGATAGCAGCAGTGAGCTCTGCTAAATCAGGAACAACACAGTGATCTACGTTACCAAACTTCACACTCTGCCCAAAATAGAGTGAGTGAAGACGCTGTAAACGTTCAAATATTCTTAATGTTATCCTGTTTATACTTTGTTATTGTCATGTATTTGCATAAAAACCGACAATTCAAAAAGAACGGGTATTTAAATCTTTTTTTTTTTGGAATATTTGATTTAATAGTGATTATAATATTTTAAACTGTGCTTAAAAGGTCATAGTTCCCTACTTAATATCTATTTTATATTGCCTCAAACATCTCCTTAGCAGAAACATAAAACACAATAGTGTCATGTGATTATACACTAATTAAAACATAGTTCTGAATATTTTATTACCTGTCAGCCAATAAATTCCCCTAAATTGTACATATAAATTACAATAACGTTTTAAAAATGGTGTGTCTCCTACTTTGTCATAGTCTTACAAGCTAGTTGGTTGTGATAAGGTTTAATTAGAGATAACTGTTAACAACAGGGAAATGGCACAATAATACAGGATTAACAGAGATGCCCATTACATCTTAGTTTGAATATTGGTCTTAAAAGTCCCCTATTATACTGTTTTTCCTCAATATATTATAGGTCTCAGATATATACAAAACATGTCTCTGAAGTGTTTGGCTCCAAACACTTCAGCCCTGTTTCAAAAGTGCTGATTCTCTGTCTGTTACTTTAGATGAAAATAAGGAGCCCCTCCCCACGCCTATTTGGTTAAAAAGAACACAATGGTGCTCTAGGAGGAGATTCAGGTGATAAGGGGGGGGTTACCTTGGTTGGTGATTGGCTAATGGCGACACAAGCCAAAAAATCTTTATGACATCATAAAGTGATCAAAATCTGATCAACTCATTGTAAAACAGGATTTTATATAAATTAGGGATGCTCCGATCGATCGGCCCCAAAATTGGCGATCGGAGCATCCCTAATATAAATGGATCAGGACAAAAAGTGAGCAAATCTTTTTTCCTGAAACTTTCAGAATCTCTTTACACAGAGGGAACACATGTTTGTATAAAAGACGTAAAAAAGTGGATTTTGCACAATAGGTGACCTTTAAGCTTTATATATATATATATATATATATATATATATGGTCTTAACAAGTTAGACATAGAGATTGAGAGGTGATAAAGACAGTAATTCCTGTATTACTGTTCACACAGCGGTGCATGGCAAGTGATCTGATTTAGGAGCACAGACGAATCAAGCCAAAATCTGATTTCTGTGTCAAATGAGCAGAAAATCTAATTTCCTTTTGTATGAACTTTTGTAATTTGAACATAGCCTTATGATAGGATCAGTTTTGACAGTATTGGATCTGTCTCAAGTCTATTTTCATTTGCTTCTAAGTGCCTGGACTTGGACTTGTCGAGATCTTGGCAAAGACGTTGTTGACTGCAGCGACGCTCAAACAACTTATCTTGATTTCTTGTTGTCAGCCACATTGTGACCCTTCAATGTCAGTTCATCCGTACAACGTGTTACAAGATAAAATAATCAGCAAATATGAAAACCAAATGAAACAGATGAGCTCAGATTCTTTATAAATATCTGCCATTACAGTGGCTATATTTAATAAAACAAGTTGTTTCATAAATATAAATCAACATGTATGGAAAAAACATTGCCATTACGCCTTTTGAAAAAAGAGAATACCATTGAGGTTCAATAGACACATTGTTCAAAATACATCACCAAATTATAGGGCGTTTTCAAGTCAATCAAAAATAGAAAAGGTTGACTGGGAAGTACTGAAATGATGTTGCATCACAAGAATTGCAACAACAATTTACTTCTTGTAAATACCAATGAAACTGCAATGAACAACTTTTTTCATATCGATTAATCTGTAAATTATTTTTAAACTAATCGTCTGGGACATTTTTAGATGGATTTAACTCGGTGCGAATTGTGCAACAAAACTTCCAAGAGCCAACATTGACCTCATATTAAAGAAGCTGAAACCACTGAATACTAGAACAGTAGTTACTTCCCATAGATGTACATTTAGTTGAAAAGCTTAATTCCCCTTCCATTTCTAACATAACACTGTCCTTCTCTCCGTATACAATTGGATCTGAGATGTTACATTTAAGGGGAAACACTCATAAACAAACATTTGTGTAACATTTGTGTAATGTGTGATAGTCTGGAGACTTGGCCCCGACATAATATATTCTCAAAGTGTTCAGGAGATGAATTCCCAGTTATGATGACAGACAGACATCCCTGTATTCCAGCTGCTTTTTCCTGTATGAGGTCACTGAGTCTGGAGGCTTAGCCAACTAACAATGTGTTGTGTCAGTTGAAATTCCTTAAAGTTTTCAGGTGACATAAAGACACAGGAATGATGACAGTTTAACAGGTGAGAGACATTCCTGTCAAACAGCTGTTGTGTTCTGTATGTTGAGCTTGAACCCTTTAACATTTCTCCAGGAGGCTGGCTCACCAAACAATGTGTTGTTTTGTGTCAGCTTAAATTCCTCAAAGTTTTCAGGTGACATAAAATCACAGGAACTATGACAGTTTAACAATTTAGAGACATTCAGAGTACTTACAGGCAATGTAGGCGATCAAAGCGAGGGCAAAAAGCAGCTTCATCATTCGTCTGTTTAATCCTGATATCAGCCAGATGATCCGCTTCATCATCCGCTCAATGCAACAAGCACCAGGAACACAATCAAGTCCAGCTAAAGCATTTTGACTCACACTTCTTCATGTCATTAGTGCTGTTCGGGGTGTGTTTGGTTTGCTAAGGAGATTGTCAACGAGTTGGAGATCCTAATTAATATAAAAAGAATTGGGCAATGTGAGATTGGCAGCAGGACAGGAAAGCTAGCTGCTGCTGCTACGTCAACACCAGGCAGGAGCAGTTTACGTGGCTAGCTGTTGAACACAGGTAGCAAACAGAACCAGGTGGCAAAGCTACACTGTCAACACTCACAACTACTAGTACACTTGTTTATCAGCGACATGTCCCCCCCGATTAACCACACACAACACATCATATCTTACGTAAACTATACCTTAAAGACACGTCTACCTCAATAACAATAACACAGTAAAGATAAACGGTTAGCCGTTAGCACCCCTTTAGCAATTAACTACGGATAGCTAGCAGGCTACTTAACTGACAGCGTTTTTTACTCCCGTTCATAGCTGCCGCTTGGAAAAACAAAAGACGCGAATCCTGCCTCACATTTGTTTTCAGGTGAGTGCCTTGAAAATAAAATAGGTTCTCATTTTAAGTGCGCAGACATTTCCTCATGAAGGAGTTTTGCTCCTCTCTGTTGGGCCGAGGAGGGATAGCAGATGAGCGATTACTCACTGCTCGATTTAGCAGCCTGCCTTTTCCTGCAGAGACTGCGTGACGCTCCTTTGACTTGCCTCCAATAATAAAAGGCATTTAGTTGTGTTTTATGAGCGATCTAACAACTTTTTATTTTACAGATAACATAAATAGTATGCTATGGACCAAATCTTCATCATCCTTTATGGGATCATGACTTTCGAGTTGCCAAAACATTTAATTTAGCAATGATACAATGGCTCATTCATTCAATCACACGAAACTTTCCACAGGGCAGTAAAGTCACCTTGTTGAACACCTTGTTGATTTTCCCACTTGAACCACTGCAGCCTGTTTGGTGCTGTAAGCTCTCAGTGTTGTTGGCTCATAGGGTAATATGTATTTTAATTTGCTCATGTGAACTGTATGGCATTACACAGCAGGTATTATTTTTTAAAAAGACTTCACCTCAACAACACAAGTTTTTCTGTTCATGTTTCCCCCCTACAGGTTACAAAATTGTTCATGAACAGCAAGTCCTGCATATCATATTTGTGTTGTATGTGTTATGTCAAGTTTTGGATCAAGTTTATGAAATATATATTTCCAACTGGAATATCCTCCCAACTCAGATATGGGATTGTCCCAATCTCAATAGCTTTAAAACCAGTTAAGCCCCAAAGACCCCTTCAGCGGGTCTTTTTTTAAAGGAAGCAAACACAGACATCACAACACGTAGCATTACGGAGGAAAAACGGGACATCGTCTCACTTTAGCTGTTATTCTGATCAAAAGTCGTGTTCAATGGCATTAAAACGAGAAAAAACGCGGCTGAAGGTTAATCCATAGGTTAATTGAATGTGTCTGTCACTTTGAAAAAAAATATTTATAATCCATAATTCCATTTTTATGTAAAAATCGGAGTGTAAAAGTTAGCTGCTAATGGTAGGCACAGGGGCGCCGTAAGGGGGTGAAAAGTTAGGACGATTCTAAGGGCCCGTGACTGACAGGGGTCCCACATATTTTTAGAACATTAAGAAAAAAAATGTAAGTAACCTTTCATCAATCATCAATAATTAACATTAAAATAACGTCATATTGATGATGTACTCACTAAACTTACGATTCATTTAACTTATTTTCTTCCAAAAGTTAATTATCCAAAGCATCGAACACCCCCCTCTATTTACATGTAATGGTTTGGTCCTGCCTCCAAACGCTGTGCAGGGCCCTTTCTAGCAGAGTGAGAGCATGTGAGCAGGGATGCTAGTACTTACGTGTGTACGATGTCTCAACGACTAACAAAGTCAGGCTTTCAAGAAAGAAAAGAAAGGAGAGAAAGACAAGAGAGAGGGACTAAAGGGCGACAGTATGTCACCCAGTCTTTCAAAAGAAAAGGTGGGTGTGGTCCATGAGTGGTGGAAATTAGTCTGTTAGCTAAGCTTAGCTTAGTCCATTGTAAATAATAATTGTAATGTTTTGCTGACATTAAGTACTGTTAATATCTTCCCAGAAAATTCAGAGGTTTTTCATTTCACTCCTCTTTTAGCTGACATTTAATAAATGTAGGTACATTTTTAGCAGCTATTCATATAAATCAGTTGTCCCTCCCCCTGGTGCCAGGACCAACAGATCCATCTTTAGGCTCCTCAGCCCTGACCCCCCATAAGGCTTTGCAGTCTTGCCATGCTGTCCATTGAAAGCCAGTTGGCTAGAAAGCTGGACTTCAAGGACTTGAGCAGTGACTTTGCCTGTAAGAAGGCTAGGCGCTGGGCTCTTGGTGAGTAAGGCTGAGCAAGGGCTCGTAATAACTGTTAAAGGGCAAGGCTATGGTAACGATATTGGATCACTACACACAAGATGCATGATGAGAAAAAAACTGAGAACAGGCTCTGATTTAGCGCCACCATCAGGCCTTTTCATTTCCATTTCCGTTTTGTTGTCCGTTTACACTTTAATACCCGCTTATTTTGTAGTTGGTATATTTAATTAAAAAATCTGCTGCTTATGTTATTTTTTTTGTTATAGCATTTTATAAATTATAATATTGGTGTTAATGTTCACTTTATTTTAATTTAAGAGGTCATGTATATTTAAGTTATAGTTATTTTGATTTTTTAATGTTCCATTCAAAAATGTTATTAAAAAGGCATGTACAGCATAAAAGATTACTATTGAGGTATATTGTCAGGAATGTTAGTGTTATATCAAATAGTGAATTCTACTGCAGCAGAATGTTGCACGTCTGCACAGTGTTATATGTTCACCGCTCAGTGTCAGTAAATATTGTGTAGTTATTGGACTACAAGATAGATGCAAGCCTGTACAGGTAGAGTTATTTAAAGCATAAATGAGTGGGTTGGGTTCTGTAGGTGTGGTTACAGCATTGTGCTTGGTTGGCGTGGCCTGTGCCTGGTGGTGGGGCCCAATGTGATATATTTTCATGGGGCCCAAAATCCCTGGCGGCGCCCCTGGGTAGGCACCAGAGTTATCGCAGCTTCCAGTTTTGGCTATGCGTCACTCTCACTCCTTATTTGATAATAGAGAGGCGAAGTCCCGCATCTACTTCCGACCTTATTTCGGAAAAAGTATGTATTGAAGTCAATGGGGAGAGAACACTTATCTTTCGATCCCATTTGAATTGTGCCACAAATTACACATAATGTTTGTCAATCTTAAAAAATAATTTCCATGTAAAAAAAGTCACAGTTTGTTGTAAAACTGTTGAAATATAAGACTATGAAAAATACGCAACTAGAAAGACTACAAATCCCAGAATCCCGGTCCCGCATGCTGGCTCTTACGGAACCGACTAACTCCCCTTTTGTGTATGTACAGCTCTCAACATGCTCAGACTTGTAGTGATTTTCACCTTGTTTAATATGTTTTGCCTCATTCTGAAAGAAAGAAGTGAAATGTGCTAACATGACGGCCGTCTTGGTGCGGGACGGGACATGTAGTTCATTGAGCGGTTTCACACAAAAAAAAGTGTTACTTCACAGTTTTACGACACTTTTTTTTTTTTTTTTGACTTGCAAAATTATCTTTTAAATTGACAAACATCATATGTGTAATTCATGGCACAATTCAAACAGGATCGAAAGATAATCTTTCTCTCTCCATTGACTTCAATACATACTTTTTCCGAAATAAGGTCCCATGGAGGTCCCCCGGAAAGGGAGGGACTTCGCCTCTCTATGTGTGTGTGTATGTGGGAGTTCCCCTCGATTCCATTGGCTATGACGGTTAGAAAGAGTTGTCAATCATCAAAATCGACCAAGGGTCTTTCTCACTTCGGTTAAATTGAATCCTTGCGTCCCTCACTTGCGTCGTTTCCCTGTGACTAGTCCCTCCCACCAGGGAAGCATGGAGAGATGCAAGGAAACCACGAGAAGCAGGGAAATTAGTTTTAAGAGCAATGGGATGTCCTTTCCTCACGTGAAGCGACGTCCGTTTGTGATGACGCTGCACAGCTGTTCGTCTGACAGCAGCTCTGTCCCTGTTATTTCCACACACACCCCCGCCTCTGTTAGTACACATTTACTGACACAAACATTTGTATCATCTGTTGTAGACCCAAATAAATAAAATAAAATAAGAACTCATTTTCAAAAAAGATAAACGCCATTCTTAAAATGTATAAACGAACAATAGTTTAATTAATATTTATTCGAGTGCACAATAGAAATAAAATAATTGAGAGAAGAAAAAGAGATATGTTATCTATATGTTATCTATCAAAACCCAGTTAGATTAACATTCATTGGATTACACACTTTGTTTGTTTGTTTTGATATGTAGCACATTAACATTGTAATAGCACTTAATGACTGACTGAATGGAAATGACAATAAATGAACATTTAAAACGAAAAAAGCGATCATGAAAATGTTTCCAAAAAATGAATAAAATGATTTGTGACCACTCTGTTGTTCAGATATATCACATATTTGTAACTAAATGATACATGAATTGAAACAAAACACGGTATAAACTGAGGAGTGACTCCCGTGAGGTTCATGTGTTTTCTTCACTCCGCTGGGAAACTGCTCTCATGTCAAGAAGCATCAGATCAGTGCATGCACTGCATCGTCCAATCAGTGAGCGATACACAGTAAGGGGGCAGGGCGAGTGTCTGAGGATTTCATCGAAGGATGGTCTGGTGGTTCCTCGATTATAGAGAGGCGAAGTCCCTCCCCTTCCGGGAGCCTCCATGGGACCCCGGAAGCAGAAAATTATACATTGAAGTCAATGGAGAGAGAAAGGTTATCTTTTGATCCCGTTTGAATTGTGCCACGAATGACACATATGATGTTTGTCAATTTAAAAGAACATTTTGCAAGTCAAAAAAATTAAAATGTGTCGTAAAACTGTGAAGTTACACATTTTTTTTTGTGAAACCGCTCAGTGAACTACAGGTCTCTGGTCTCGCACAATACGTGTCACCATCACAAAGACGGCCGTCACGTTAGCAAATTTCACCTGTTTCTTTCAGAATGAGGCAAAAAGTATAAAACGAGGTGAACATCACTACAAGTCTGGGCATGTTGAGAGCTGTACATACACAAAAGGGGAGTTAGTCGGTTCTGTAAGAGCCAGCATGCGGGACCGGCTTTACAAGGTTTCGGTGAGTAATATGAGTGCAATGTGTAACGTTAATGTCAGCTAACATTAGCTAACAAGGTACACTAACGTGTTTTGTTTTAGTAACTAGTTTTCTCCTTATGAACTTCGTGGTCTCTGTGTATGCTGTGGATAACATTAGTGTTCACAAGAACAAGGTACACTCCCGTATTTTGTTTTAGTTGCTCTTCAGATTGAAGCGGCCAGTTTTATATTGACTATACTGTATGTGTGATCTCCTTTTTCTCGTTGTGTCATTTGACTTTATTTGCTGTGTGTAGATTCCAGGATTTTGGTTATCTAGGCACAGCTGTGTGTGACTCCCTCTGGTACACTGGTATGTGTTTTCCTAATGTAGAGAGCATTGATTAATTAATAAACTACACACTGAGTCTAGATCCTGACCAAAT